ACCTACTTCACTATTCACAACGCTAAACAGTCGAATATGAATATTCGATAGGTAAATAAGCGAATGTGCCACATCCGCAGTTTTACCAAAATGTTTTACAACTGATAGTGATTATCAAAATAACGAAAGTGACATATTATTTTGGAATTTTAATTGGAATTGGAACTTACGTGGTAAAGTGAGACTTCTCAATCTCAGTACTGCAACTTTAATATTGTGATAAGTCGAATGTATTTATTATTTATTTGCAGCAACCTAATAATAACGTTGGTCTTGAAATATTGACTAAAAGCAGTGATTCCAGTGATAGGCCTACTCTAAATGATAACCGCAACCCAGCACAAAATCAGAATCATGTATCACCAAAAAAGCGAGAAGTAGCAAAAAATGGTGTTTATACAAGACAGGAGAAAGCATCCAAGAAAATAAAAGGTCTTATATATTCAACTGTAAAACTAAAATAATTAATGCAACGTCCTTGAAACAACCAAGATGCTCTGGCCGAATCAAGCATAAGAGAGAAAAAATCTATACTGGTTTCCATAAATTACCATCCCTGCTTGTGATAATTCATCCTCTAACCCCAACCCTTTACTATTTATTTCTTGAGCTACTCTCTTTTTAACGACTCCTCAAAAGTTACGATCCAACTAGCCGTTCTACCCCCACCATAAATTGAGGGATGGGAAAAACCTACCGGTTTAACCGAAAACCGTTTTTTTTACTTCGCAATAACCGGTTTTACCGGTTGTTTTTTGTCCCGGTTATAACCGGTTTTTTTATTTTTAAAGTAAAAACCGGTTATTAGGTTTTTTAGTTTTATTAGTATTAGTTTAGGTATTATTTTGAATTCCAATCATAATTATTATTCTCAAGTAATTATTCCAAACAAAACCATAATTCAAATTTTATTTTATAAATACAGGAGCAAACTGAAAGTGCAAACTCATATCAGCCAGAAACAATAACGTTTTGTTATAATATTTCGTTGAAAAGGTATTTGTAATCATAATGTTTACATAAGAAGTGATCTGGTACATTACATATTTTTCACACTTGACTCTTGACATTGAAAGTGGTTGAATGGCTTTTTCTGATTAACAAATAATTAGACTATGAATATCGAATTACCGAATACGAATACGAATTTTCAAGGAATTCCCTACGTTTTCAAAACAATACAGGAACTAATAAATGAGTTAATGTACCTATTAAACAAATATACAAACGTGTTAAAAGTTATACATGATAAATTTTTTTTGATGGTAGTAAAAATATAAGATGAATTGCATTATCCAATTTATTTTTAAGTAAAATATTTATGTTGATACTATTTTTTTTTAATCCCATTTGAATAGTCTATTCACAAATCTTTGGATTCACACAAATCAAATGTAATTTGATCCCAGTAATCAAGTAATTTCCATGACGACATTGAAGACCAGTTATACTTTAGGGGTGCCTAAATAAATCTAGTACTAACGCCGTTTTCTTTTCATCTCAAGTTTTGAATTTTTTCATTTTTACCATGTCGAAATCGTTTGTGTGCAATTTATTTTCCAAGCGTAGCAACATGAGGCACAGTGCTCTATTTGTTTGAAAATATTAAAAAAAAGGAGGAGGCACGACGAATTTGAGGCAGCACTTAAAAAATAAACATCCAAGATATCTGGAAAATAAGCCAAAGGTAAGCTCATTTTATAGAAAAATTTAAGTAAAGGAAATAATAGGGGAATTTTGTTTTTGCTTAGGGTAAAGAACTGGCGGACATCGGAACTTTTTTGCATAGAGGCGATCAGGAAGTATCTTTCATCTGCTTCTGAGGCGAGTATGAGCTCTGCTTCACTTTACACATATTAATTTAGTTGTCACAGATGACCTTGAAGATATAAACAATGTAGCATTAAAAAATGTAATAAACGAAATAAAAGCCATAGTTACTTTCGCTAGGCACAGAAATTTCTTCATGGCAAGGTTACGGATGGAGCAGGAACAGGAGGGCAAGTCAGAGGGTGAAGTGAAGCTTTTGGTACAATCCATACCAACCAGATGAAATTCTGTCTACCATATGCTTAAAAGATTCACACTAATGTCCCCATATATTGCTGCAATACTGGCAGATCCCTCGATTGAAAAAGCACCAAGGATGATTATTCTGATTCAGATATAAAACTAATCACTGAAATTGTAACAATTTTATCACCTTTCGATGAGGCCACAAAGGAGATCTCGGGTTTCCAGTACATTACTGCTAGTCTTGTTATTACCCTTGTGTCTATTATCGAAAGATCTTTAAAAAACCTCAAGCCAAATCTTAATAGAGCCCAAAAGTTATGCCAAAAGCTTATAAATAACCTTCAAGAGAGGGACACTAAGCTTTTACGAAACCCTCTGCTTTGCCATGCTACAATCACGGACCCGAGGTTCAAAAAACTATATTTGAATCCGTCTATAGTGGAGACAGTCACATCCAATTTAGGCTCGGAAGTTAGGACGTACCATACCGAAATCGGAAAACTTTCTCCTTTCTGCTCCTTCCAGAATAAAGAAGCCAAAGTGAGTTTAAAATCAAACCCTCTTTGGTCTTCACACGATCTGGAGTTAGTGAACAGTGGTTCCAGTTTAAGTTCTCAGGACACACGGATTCAAAGTTCTTTTCCAAATGAACTGACTCTATATCTGCAGCAGTCCGTTTTCATTCTGGAGCAGCACAGAATCTGTATGCCAGGCTTGGCTTTTATAGCTAAAAAATACATGTCGTTGGTCGGAAGATCGGTGGCATCAGAGAGACTGGTATCATCATTGAATGATATTGTGTCAGATGAGAGAAGTCGCTTAACCGACCAACATATAGTATGAACGAGTTTTCCTAATAGGCTTCATGAAAAATACTGGCCAACATAATGTTAAATCCATTTCATATAATATAACCTATTTGTTACATTCTAATCTATACTTTTTTACTTAAAATATTACTTCGTTTTACTTATACTTTAATCTTACGCTATATTATATTTAATGATAAATCAATAAATATATAATAATAATAAAATAATTAAAAAAATATAATACTTAATATAATAAAATGGTTTTATTAAAAAATGTGTGTTTTATTTATATTGATAGTGATGTTCTTTCGATAGTACTAATTTTGATCATATTGATATCGAGTTGAATGAAGTATCGCAAACTAAAATGCATTGTAAATGTAACTTTGTAACATATTGGTTTAAAAAAAACACGAAAACCGGTTGCGGTTTTTGTCAAAAAAACTCCAAGTCAAATCCCTACCATAAAGTGCTCAACACCAGAATGAACCTTCGATTCTGGTGGAAGGCACTAGGTTAATTCTTGTCGCATCCACTCAATCTGAGTATTTGGGGCAATTCTCTTGTATCTCCTGACTCATACAACATAAAAAATGAAAGTTATCAGTGCACTATTTCGGATTATACAACTTAAGTATTTGACCTAGGGGACTTTTAAATGTTATTTTATACAGGTTTTGGGCTTACTCAATATAAACAAAAAATATATGCTACATGAGGCTATGACGCCTCTTTAAGGGTTGGTTATTTTTATTGGGAAAACGTCAACTGTCATTAAAGAGGATCATGGATGTGAAGTGGATTAAGGTTTTCGTGTCCGAGGATAGGTCGTATGAGGGGATTTGCTTGGAAGTGTGTACGGGTTGTATTTGTTTTGTGTTTTGGTTGGATTTTTCGGTGTGTGGCATTTTTGTCAAAAGGCCGGGTGGCCTCCATTACAGTTGAAACAGAACACCTATCATGGGGCATGCAGTAGACCTGTGATGTTCTCCAGAGTCTGGACAGATAATTGATTTTTCGAGTCATTCGTTGCTAAGGTGTACGCTTTTGCAGCGTCTCGAACAGTATTACAGTCGAACCGGAAATTTCACTGGAAGTACCCTTAACTTATTTTTTATAAATGAGGAAATCCTGTATATATATATTGCGATTTTAAAAGAAGTTTTTATAGGTAATTTATACATACAAAGTCTGAGAAAAAAAATTGTTAAAACAAGAAATATATCAGTTTACAGTTAAAGAATATATAACAAATCTATCGTCAGACCTGTAATGGCATAGAGATGCGAAACGGGGACCATGACCAAAGCAAACAAAGAAAAGCTCAGACGCTTTGAACGAAAAATTTTCGGACCTCACCATGACATTAACACAAACCAGTATAAGATCAAAACCAATATCGAATTAAAAGCACTTTACAATGACGCCGATATTGTCCAAGAAATTAAATCACAGCGACTACAAATGGAGCCACGTGCACAGACTGCATAACGAGAGACTTGTAAAACTGGTATGGGAGGAGATTCCCACAGGCAAAAGACCAGTGGAACGTCCCAGAATGCGATGGAGAGATAACATCCAAGCAGATCTCCAGAAAATAAACATTCCATTCGATCCTAGGTTGATGAAAGACCGAGCAAATTGAGAAAAAAGTTATACAGTCAGTCAAGACCCACCCAGGGTTGTAGCGCTACGTGATGACGATGAGTTAAAGAATACGTAAATTTAGTTACCAAAACCAATGAGAATAACAGTTTAAAAAAATCACTTTAAATGTTTAAAATGTTCACCATTCATCTCCTAAGAATATGCAACCATATTCTTAAATTTGTAAGTCACTCTTTCCAAGATTTATTCACATTCATCAATAGTTCTTTGTTTCAAATCCTGTAAACATGTAAACTTTTGCGAGTATTCTGAACATTTGAAGTGATGTTTTTAAATTGAATGCTATGCTGCAACAACGTTGTAACCGCCAATACTTTTATATGTGGATTTTCCATAAAACAACGTTTTATATGTACAAAATAATGCACTATTGACTGTGGGGAATATTATGAGATTTAGCTAGCCTGTTTTGGTAGTTTGAAAATTAGTCAACCTTCAACTTTCGCTGTAGCAACTTTATATGTGTTAAAGTGGGTCGTGTTTTGCGTCAAATTTTTTGCATGTGTTTTGTAAGTCAACGTTTTCAATAATGTAATTTGTCATTTCGAGCTAAAATAAATATTAGTTATAACCAAGTCAGCAATTACTCCGTGTAGCAGATTCTATTGTGTTATAATTTATCAACCTCCGGGATACATTTCTCAGGTGCGGGTCAAATTCTATTACATCCAGAAGACCAACCGGCCTGAGAATGGAACCATTTATTCCAATAGGAGAGTTGACTCCGAGACAAGGAAATCCAAAACTACCAACATGGCTTGCTAACAACCAGGACAGAAAAAGACCAGGATAAAACTTAGGATTTGGTGACAAAAATTGTTCTTTCATATACCTAATGTAACACTGGAGCAAGAAGTCGAATAATTTTTATTTAAATTTAATACGATACTTAACATTTATTTTTCTGTTTTTTTTATATTTTAATAAAACATGTGTTAATTTAACTGTGTATTGTTTCTTCTTTTTTACTTGTTTGTGTGTGTTGCTCCAGAGTAGGCCATTATTCACGTCCTGAGTGAGTTAGCCAGGGAGTGTTTCGTATAACGTCTAATGTAGCAATTTTGTAATTGATACATTAGGGGTTATGACGTTAAAAATTGGTCCCAACGGGAAACGATTTGTCACCTCAACGTTGTTAGTGATGTTAGTCAGGTTGTAGCAGCAAAACTAAGGTTTGCGGTTACAGGTTGATAACAGCAGCTCAACGTTGGGATGTTACAAAGTGAGCCTCGAAGGGTTACAAATTGGCACCCAATGAATATTGTGTTGGCACGTCACAGATTGACGTCCAATGAATGTTCGTTGGAACGTTACAAATGTTACAAATACAAGCAGATGATCCATGTATAAAAAGAGTAATGGATTGGATGCGTCGAAGTTAAAGACCTTCTTAGCAAGACATTAGTGCATGTAGTCCAGAAGACAAGTGTTACTGGGGCCAATGAAATTGCCTAGTACTAAAATATGATCTTCTGTAGAGAACCTTTGAGAACGATGATGGTACAGAATCTAAGCTTCAGTTGATTGTACCTAAAAGTAACGTGTCAGAAGTATTGCATCAGTTGCATGACGGTGCATCAGGTGGACAGTTTTGTATTAAGAAGACTCTGCAAAAGGTTCGAGAATGGTTCTATTGGGTGAACTGTAAATATGATGTAAGGTAAAAAAATTGTACACGGAAATGTGAACGGTGTGCAACTAATAATAGCCCAGTTGGTAAAATGAGGGCACCCATGAAACAGTTCAATGTTGGTAGTCGTATAGAAAGAGTAGCTAGGGTCCACTTCCAGAGACGAATAATAGAAATAAGTATATCCTGGTAGTTATGGACTACTTTACGAAATGGAGTGAGGCCTATGTGATACCAAATTAAGAAGCTGCTTACCGTTGCAGAGGTATTTTTTTAAAGAATGAATTATTTAGCCAATTTGATGTTCCTTTAGAGATTCACTCCGATCAAGGGCGAAACTTTAAGTCAACCCTTTCCAAACGTTTGTAAACTAATTGGTTTCAATAAGACCAGAACGACATCCCTGCATCCTTAATTAATGGAATGGTCAAAATGGATGAAACGAACGATATGGTAAACACCGGTCAAAAGTTGTATCCAGAACTACAAAGAGATTGGGACCAAGCACATTTATTTCATTCCTAATGGCCTACCGTTCGGCCGTGAATAAAACTACAGGCCAGACTCCAACCTGTCTAATGCTAGGTCGTAAAGTTCGTTTGTCCTGCGACCTAGAGTTTGGCTGCAAACCTTCCCAAATGTCGACTGCCTAAAGTTAGGAATAAACAACATTTATGAACTTGCCCGACAATACATTCAGTTAGCCAGTGACAGAATGAAATCATTAATATGATTCTCGATTTAAGAATGGAAGCTATGAAGTAGGTGATCTTGTTTGGCTTAATAATCAACAACGTCGTCGGGTCCTTGTCTCCTAAACTGTAGCAAATGCTGGCTCAAATAAAACAAAAGAAGTACAATCCCTTTAACATGAGATCAAAGATGACCGGCGACCAAGCTTTAATGACTTTATGTCAAATAACGTAGAGATAAAGAGTGCTAGATTCGGCGTGACGACAGAGCTTCAGCAGGATCTTTTTAGTGTTCCGCATAACGTCCAACCAGCACCCACTGTGTTGCAGTCTAAAATTAGAAGAGTACTGAGATTAGAAGATGGTCCAATTTTTGCTCTATATGGTGACCAGAAAGTTTTATATAGACAGGGCAAGCTACGAGGATATATGGCGTGCTCTAACGTCAGAAGTATGCTTGAAGTGATCTTCCGAGAAATTAGCGTACGAATTATTGAGTGTTGCATTAATCCGAATAGATCGTGTCCTTTAAAGACAGTAGACTGTTATTTCTTTCTGAGGAGTTTATGCAGAGCTGCAGAGTCCTGTGGATTCTACCATCCTGGGCCTTCATATAGAGTTGCTGATCGGGATGCTCAGATCTTAGACGGAGGAAATGTACCTAATTTGCTTATTTCGGCGTAGCCCATATAACGGTTGCATCTCGCGACGACGATGATCTACCTTCGAGAACCTTCCGGATGTATCGACTGGGATTGTATTAAAAGCGTTAATGCAAGTGAATAGAAGTGGACTATTCCACTATTCCACTTAGTGGATACTATAAGTATATTTTCAATATTATTATTATATGGAGCTGAGACTTGGACATTAAAAAAATGTAATTTAAAAAGAATCGAGGCCTTCGAACTCTGGTTATACCGCAGATTATTGAAAATATCATGGACTGATAGAATTACAAATAAAGAAGTACTGGAGAGGGTTGGTAAAGAAACAGAACTAATCACCACTATACAAACCAGAAAACTGGAATACCTAGGCCACGTGATGAGGGGACCAAAATATGAAATTTTGAGACTGATAATACAGGGAAAGATTCAATGAAGAAGATCTGTTGGCCGAAGGCAGAACTCATGGTTAAAGAATCTACGTGATTGGTACCAATGCAGATCGATTGATTTGTTTAGAGCAGCAAGTTCTAAAATAAAAATAGCCATTATGATTGCCAACCTCCGTAGGGAGACGGCACTCTAAGAAGAAGAAGATTCCAGCGCTGTAGAAGTGCAGCAAAGTAGCGCTCATATTAGTCAAGTTAGTCGATAAGATATTTCTGTGCTGTAAACTTATGAATAAATATATTTATATAAATTAGAACAGCTCGTTTTATTGAAATACGCTTCAATAATAATGTTATAGTCTATCATATTACGCTCATAAATATTTTTTTAAAGAATCAATTATAAGGTGTTTTTTTTTGTCGACAAAATGTGATTTGGTGTTTACAACGTTGTTTCAGCATAGCACTTAATTACTATTCTCATTGGTCTTGGGCAATAAATGTACATTTTCTGTTACGGTAAAGTGATTTGTTTCTGGTTTTAACAAAGTTTTCTACCAAACTTGGTATGTCTTAATTAGAGATGACAAGTATTTTTCAATTTGCAAAAATATACAGGATGTCTCATTTAAAATATATAAGTTAATGATATTTCCAACAAAACTTTAAGTGGAGCAGTAATAAAAAATATCGCATTAAATGCGCAATTTGTAATTGTACTTGCATGTAAAGTTTCCCAACCCTGTATAGTAGTGAACATGGTATATGACAGATAATACTTCATTTAATACAGAATTGTTTGAGCCAAAATCAAAATTAACTCCACAACAGACAGACAAAAATTTAAACCATCTGAAAAAGAGATAGATACAGAACTTCTTAAAGATCGCAAAGAACAATACATAAACCAGCTAAAAAGAAGTGACATATCACAGCTGAAGGGTTTGCAACTAGACGAATTAAACGATAAAATAACAACAGAACTACTAGAAGCAGGCCTGAAGATTGCTAATAAACAAAAGCAAAAACAACAAAAAATTAGCGCTAAATCACAAGATATGCTAAAAAAACGACGACAACTACAGAATGATAACAAAAGAAATACAGTGGAGTTTACCGAACTGAACAAAACCATAAGAAAACAGATAAAGGAAGATTTAAAGAAATACCAAGAAGACCGCATTAAGAAAATCATAGAGAAGAACAAAAGTTTAAAAACAATTAAGACAAATATAGGAAAAAGAAAACTAATCATGCTTAAAGCTGAGAACAATGAAGAAAGAGATCTAGGAGAAATAGTAAAAATCACAGAAAGATATTACACAGACCTATACAGTTCTAAAAATGACCCACCACTATCATCTAAACAGAATCTCTCGAGGAAAATACAAAATGTTGGCTCAGAGGTATTATCAGAAATAACTGAAGATGAAATCGAAAAATCCATAAACGACATGAAAAGAAATAAAGCGGCCGGTGAGAACAAAATACTGGCGGAACTGCTAAAAGAAGGAGGAGACACGATAAAAAAAATGCTAAAAATACTGTTCAACAAATGTCTGTTTGAAGGTAAAATACCTAAACAATGGAGAAATGCCAACACAATCTTAATACATAAGAAAGGAGACCGAACAGACTTAAACAACTACCGTCCTATTTCCCTTTTGTCACAACTATATAAAACCTTTACAAGAATAATAAACAACCGACTAACCTATAAACTTGATAACTACCAACCAGTGGAACAGGCCGGATTCAGGAAAGGATACAGCACAATCGACCATCTACATGCGCTTAAAATTTAAATTGAGAAAACCAATGAATACAACCTTCCGCTGTACTTAGCATTCGTAAATTATGAAAAGGCTTTCCACAGCATTGAACACTGGGCGGTTGAAGAAGCTCTGGTCAATAGTAGAATAGATTCAAGATACCGACAATTGATACATGATATTTACCAAAACGCAACCATGACCGTAATTCTGGACGACAAATTAATAACGGATAATATAAAAGTTAAACGAGGAGTCCGACAAGGCGATATAATTTCACCTAAACTGTTTACCTTGACCCTCGAAGACATAATAAAATCAACAGATTGGGAAAACAGAGGAATATGTATTAACGGAAAATACCTAAATCACCTTAGATATGCGGATGATATACTCCTGATCTCCTCGGAACGACAAGAACTGGAATTAATGCTGAATGAACTTCATGAAAAATCACTGCAAAAAGGCCTAAAAATTAACTTCAACAAAACAAAAGTAATGACAAACACGGAAGACCAAGAGGCAATAAAAATAAAAACAGAAAAAATAGAACAGGTAAATGAGTATATCTATCTAGGACAAGCAATCAGAGCTAACAGAGAAAATCAAACAGCCGAAATATCGAGACGAGTAAGAATGGGATGGGCAGCGTTCGGCAAACTTTCTTACGTTCTTAAAAATCAAACAATCCCTCTATACTTACGAAGCAAGGTATATAACTCCTGTATAATACCGGTGCTCACCTACGGAGCACAGACATGGACATTTAGACAGGCCAATTTGGATAGGATAAGGAAGGCACAAAGAGCGATGGAGAGACAAATGTTGGGTGTATCACTTAGAGATAGAAAATGTAACCAGTGGATCAGAACCAGAACAAAGACAGTAGACGCGATAGAACAAGCAGCAAAACTGAAATGGAAATGGGCTGGACACAATGAACGTCTCCAAGACGGACGATGGAACAATGCCATCGGAAAGTGGCGTCCATACGATGCAAAGAGATCAAGAGGCAGACCACAGATGAGGTGGAAAGATGACATCAGGAAACAAGGAGGTCCCACATGGCAGAGAACAGCTCAAGATAGGGAAAGATGGAGAGAACTGGGGGAGACCTATATCCAACAATTGAAGGATAGAGAATAGGTTCAAAAAAAAACTTCATTTAATAGCTAATAGATCACTGAGTATATTCATACATTTTTGTATGATTCTATTCTGCTATGTTAAGATAACGACAGTGCAAAAATATTCATTGTCGACTGTGCAAAATGAGACTAATAAAGAATCCCTAATAAAGATAGCCTTCGGCTTTTGAAAAGGACGTTCAAAAAGTTATAGTTTAAGGTTTTCTACAAAGACACTACTTATAAAATAATAATAAAAAAATATTTACCCACGCATCACCGTAAGATACAGTTTCATCTCCGCTCATCATTTTAAATGTTGTAGTTTTTCCTGCACCATTTATACCCAACAAACCGAAGCACTCGGACTTTTCAATTCCAATAGACAAACCATTTACAGCTAAAAAGTTCTTGTAGTATTTGGTTAAATCTTTCACGACTAAAATATTAGTTTGACGTATTTCGTGATCTGTTGCCATGTGAATCCTTTCCTTTTCTTTGGCGACGTCATCATCTTCGTCTTGAATGTGAATTGGTTGTTTCGGGAAGAATTTTTGGTTTATGTAGTACATTAGTCTGGCTATGAATTTGTATTCTATAATAAATAGCAATATGGTCCACGCGACACCAGAAATTAATGAATATGTAACATTTTTTGCGATGCCATTATTATTCCATGAAAAGTAGTTTTCATTTAGATCTAAAAAGAAGGTTTTACTTATTTTATTTATACCTATATACATTATCACGAATATACTACATTTTAAAATTAACCCAAAGTAACTTCACAAAGAAAAATATAATTTGGTAAAGTCCTACCAGAGATCTAAGGGAGTCATTAATATTTATTATCGATCTAAGTGTCTACCACAAGGCAGCGGGGGATCGCCTCTGGACAGGATTGTACTTTTATTTTCGATTTGCATTATTTATATTATACTTTATATATATATATATATATATATATATATATATATATATATATATATATATATATATATATATATATATATTACATTCTTTATATTAAAACATTACTTACTGGTACAAATATCTGCGACAGTAGATGGAAATCTTAAAATGCAGTCATCTTTAGGTATATTATTGTGAGCACAAGAGTCAAATAGTTTTTCACAAAGATTGTTGTATGAATAGATAGTGTAGCATTTGTTTATTCCTGTAGCTAAAGAATAGTGCGGGAACAGAAGAAAAACGTTATCCAAAGTTTCTCCTATACGTTTTAGGTTTGCACTTTGCGTCGTAAGGACTTCAACTAAAAGGAATGCGGCATTTCCTAAAAAATAACAAAAATTAAATGATTTGTAAATTGTTTCTATGTGTAGCGTTTTAAATTTGTTAATATTTAATATCTATATAATAATATAAATTCTGTTTTAAATTTTGTAGTACGCCCCTGAGTTTGTTTTTCTCGTAGTACGCATTAAAGACGTATTAATGCTGAGAATATTTTTCTCTCTTTATTTACATTCAAAATTCCCCAATTTCTAACTATTTTAAAGTAGAATATTTCAAGTTTTTTTTGACAATATAGGCAAAATTAGATGTTTTTGTCGTTGAAAACGATTTGTTTACATTCGAGTCCCCTAATATTCCGGTTGAAAAAAAGATGTTTTGTTGTCGGTTCGTTGTTACGAACGAGGTCAAAAGAGGTATTGTTTGTTTAGGTGCGTAGACCACAAACTGGATGCGAGACGTGAGAGGAATTTATTTGGAGTTGAATTTGTAAAATCTAACGCAGAAAAGCAAGAGTCAAGCAAATGCATTCAAAATAAAAAGACGTTTTTGAATCAACAGTCGATTCATTTTTTTGTTGTATAATGTCTTAATACCGGTCAAGGTGATTAATTTACTCTTTGCAAAAAATGGCATTTTAGAACAGAGTAATCACCATAAGATTTGTGAAGATACCGGGAACTGATGAAATTTTGAGATTGAGCATATAGGTTGTCCCCACCAGCTTTTTTTGTTTGTCTAATTGCGCTAACCCCATTTACGTCTTAGATCGTCGTTCTTGAGTATGGAAATGGTTTCCTTTGTTCCTGGTAGAAAATTTGTCCAGTTAGCTTCAATTCCAGAGATGTCACAAGTTTCTTTGTTAAGTGAAATAAGTGGAAATTAGGTAACATTCACTATATTAATTTTTTTAAGTAAAATAGACATTCTTTAATAATTTCTTTTATTAAGAATGAAAGAATTTGTAATAATTAAAGTTTTATATTATATTAGATAAAAAATGTCATAATTTATTCTGTCTTAAAATATTGTGTTGACATATGACATTTTGGCTCTAATCTGTTGTTGTTGTGAAACAATTTTAATTTGATTATTATATAGAAAAGATATTTCATATATAAGGATACATTTCACGATATTTTCATAGAAAAGGATATCCTTAATTATAATAATCTATTTTGGCCATATTAATCAATAACCTAGGAACTATTTCGAAAATTTTTGTTGCAATCTCCTTTGTAAACAGATAAACAAGTAAGTTTATGTTAATTTTGTATTATGGCTATATAGTTTTTTGTGCAATTTGTATTTTTGATAACTGTTTGTTTGAGACAAAAATAAACGTTTGATTTGTTTATCTGATCCATTTTTTTGTTTTAATTTAGAAAAATTTTCTAACCCTTGTCTGTATTCTTGATTTTAGGGAAGAAGAATTTTTTTTCTTCCAGCAGCTAGCTAGAGGTATTCTTGTCTGCCATATTTTTTCGTTTTTGATCCAGGAGATTTATGTAAGTATCCCTTTGTTTTCATTTTGTAGATACCCTAAATTGACCCATTTGATTAAACTTATCCACGACCCAGCTCTCCAACAACCCCCCGAGTGCCGTATGCACCAGTTTCGATTATTTTGTTTGCCCTATCTCTACCCCCAGTAGTTTCTGTTCCCAATCTTCTACCCCCATGTTCTTACCCAGAGGTAAGCAAAATATACTGTTACATAATATGAAACTTGTAAAAAAACCTATTAAATCGTGTACGTTAGTGTTATCTGGCCTGCTACGTTTGTGAGAATAAAGGCTGTATGTGCAACGATCAAGAAAAAAAGAAGAGAAAGAAAGACAGCTGGACCAACGGCAAAGATTAGATGGAAAGATGCTGGAAGTTGAAGCTATAAAAGAGAGTCAGACTGTATGAGTTAGAATGCGTGAGTAAGAGTGTGGGGAAAAAGGAACTGTCTATCTGGGAGTGATGCCGTACTAGGAGCGATAAGGGTCTTCAACGCGCTACTTGGAACGAGACAGGGAGCCGCCTTGGTGGATAAATAGAGTGTGGATGTGCATTAATGTAGAATGAATGAATAAGGCTAGTGCTTTGGAAGTGATGCCGGCCTTACAGCGGCCATTCCGCTTCCGGATTGCTGGATAACAGAGGAGGGTCTGGTTTAGCAGGTAAGCGTTTGGTGTAGACTCGGCGACGAGAGGGCATTTTAAAGTGTCTAGGGAACTATCGCCAGTACTAAAAACGAATCCAGCACTAAGGTCAGTCAGTCGACGTCCTAGACTGAGATGTCTTTTGAAGATTCCAGACCCCTCTAAAAAGACCCCCCTCAAAAATATATTGCAATCTGCTGTTACAATATCTTTTTGTTATATTTTATTTATAAATAAGTTGAACTTATATACCGTGGCTACGGTTATTATATTGCCGATTGTATTGCTAGTTTAAATATTATGTTAATTATTAAGAACAAAACTTACCTATGAATATACCCACGAGAGTCATCCTTGTGTAACCTGTCGATGGAACTGTGAATATTAATGATGCTACATAATATAGTGGCATAAAGGACCAACCAAACAAAAGTAATAGGAAAAACAGTCGACCTAAAATAAAAATATTTTAGTGATACATGCCACACGTACAGGGCATGTCTAAAAGCTTTCTCTGCCCTAAATAATACTAGATTTCTGAGTAACTGAAATACGGCACCCTTCTATAGTTTTTATGATGTTTTAGTAGCGTAATGATTTAAAAGAAATGCTATCACTATTTTGACAACTTATTTTAACTGTAATTATTAGGGAAAGGGTGGGAATAGTGGCCACTGCGGGAATAGTTGTCACTGGTTGTTATTGCAGAGTCCTGTGGTGATACACAACTCTTGTGTATCACCGTATACACGTCAACTCTTTCATTTGAACGTCATCTTAGATGTGTTAAAGGTGTAAGCTTTTCTGATCATTTGTTTGAAAGTTATTAAAAATTTTCGGGTTTTTCGACATCCTGATATAAGGTAAGCGTATTTAGTTAATTACTACAATCAAACTTTCATTCATATTACAGGCAAATGATAGTAACGTATTAAAAGAGGTTTATTTAGGATACAAAACGATGTATCTCTGTAACGCCTTGCTCGATTCGTTTAGCCGTTAGTGTGGCATTTATATAATGACGGCGAAGAGGGCAAAGTAGCCACTATGCCTGACATAAAGTAAAATATATTTTCATTGCAAAATAATAGCATTGTATTGTTTTGTTGTTTACAAAAGTATTGAGCATTTTAACCAGATAATAGTGTGTGTTTTATTTGAATTCTTACGGATTAAAGTCTGGTTTAGGGGTTTTTATCTGCAACAAATCTATTTTAGCAAGTAATGTAGAGTAGTAATTATATTCTAAGATTACTTATTGTACTATGTATTTACATAATACAATAAATTACCATTTCTGTACACTATTATTGTAGCTTTATTTAAGGTAAAAACGCCGCGTTACTTTCATATTTTCAATGCTATTTAACATGTAATACTAAAAACGTTTTTTTTTTTCAGGTGTAGCGATAGTGTCAAAATATCAGAGGAATAGTCATCAGCGGTCATGGAACCCCGCAGCGATGCAAAGGGCAATCGATGCCGTGAAGAAAGATGGAATGCCTTAGCAAACGGCTGCTAAAACTTACAATGTGCCTAGGAACACACTAAAACGTCGCGTACTAAATAACAATCAAGACGCTACTGACAATAAAAAAGTATTAGGCGCCATTTTCGAGCTGTTTTCACTAAATAACAAGAACATAAGTTGGTAAGTTATCTCTTGGAGATGGAGGTACGTTTTTTTTTTAATCAATGTAGCTGATTTACGCAGCCTTGCTTACCAACTGGCTCAATGGAATAAAATCCCCCATGGTTTCAATAAAGAAATGAAATTAGCAGGAAAATATTGGGTAACTGGGTTCAGAAAGCGCCATCCTAAGCTTATGTTAAAAAAACCTGAGGCGACTTTAGCAGCAAGGGCGCAAGCATTTAACAAACGAATGTAACCAAGTTTTTTGACATTTTGGAGAATGTTCACAAACATCACTTGTATCCTCCTCAAAGTCTTTAAAGGTTTTTGCCCTAAAAGGGCGACGGCAAGTCGGATCTCTTATATCTGCAGGAGAGGTGTTCTCAGCACAATTGTAATTTCTATGTCAGCTGGGGGAGTTTTTATTCCTTTTTATATAATCTTCCTAGGCATATGATGAAAGTGGAACTTCAAACCGGCGGCCTCACCTGGAACAGCTTTGTTTGTCATCCTTTAGGGTCGACACAAACTGAGATTTTCACACAATAGTTTGATCATTTTTTTTTGAGAGCCATCCGAAGACGATCCAGTTTTGCTAATACCTGATAAACATTCTACCCATACAAAAAAATCTAGATTTTATTGAAAGGGTTAGAGAAAATCTCACAACTGTAGTTTGCATTTCCCCCACTGTAGTCGTAAGCTGCAGCCTCTCGATGTTTCTTTCATGGGGCCTTTAATACTTATTATATCCAAGCGATCAAAAGATACTTGCGTAATAATCCTGGTAGATTAGTGATACAGTATCAGGTATCTAAACTTCTTGCAGAGGACATTTCCATTTGCAGCTACTCTAACTATTGCGGTAAAGGCGTTTGGAAAATGTGGCATAGTTCCTATAAACAGACAGAAGTGTACTGACGCGGATTTTGCTGCAGCCATAACCACAGAAATTTCCGTGCAAGATTCTATCTCTCTTCAAAAAGCTGAAAATCAAGAACTGGGTGTTGAATACCAAGAGAACACTTCTACTATGGTGCTAGGAAATGCTTTGGCAGATTCGAAAGGAAATATTACTCGACGTCAAGAGATACCACTTGCAAGTAAAGAGAACCCGCCTTCTGGAGAGATAGACAAAATGTCACTCTAGGGTCTGGAAATCCAAACTCTACATTCGTTCTAGTCTCTCTAAAGACTCACCAAAGCCAGGTCCTTTAACATTCCAACCCAGTCCACTGCCTTATTTCAATACTTCTGTGATTTAATCAGCAACTACAAGGGCAAGGGGCACTATAATTTTGCTGTAAGCTTACAGGATATTGTTCCAATCCCTAAAGCAAATATGATCAAACGAGAAAATAGGCGAAAAAAAGGAACAGCTGCAGTTTTGACCGCAAGCTCTTTAAAGGTGGAAATAGTAGCCGCAAAAGCAGAAAAATAAGAAAAAGAAGCGCTTAAGAAAATAAATCTGGAACTGAAAAAAGGAACGTAGAGTATGTAACAATAAAACACTGAAAACTTTGTTTTTAAACTTCCACAAAAATTTATTTTAACTCTTACTACAGCTGTTTCGGCTGATTGCCTTTCTCAAGTAATCTATTTTTGGCATGCGTTTACAATTTATAGTCTCTAATGAAATAGGTTGAGGAGGGGAGAACTGTTTGTCTCAAGTTGGTCATTCAGAATTATATCTGTGTTTTTTAATTTGTTGATTTCCATAGATTCTAACAAAGATAGCTTAAAGCCTTTATTTTGAATGTGAAGAATTTTAAATTTGTCATTAAAAGAATGATTATGATCTAGAAGGTGAAGTGCTACTGTGTGTCGAATCTGTTTTTCTATTCTTGAAAGCCCTTTTATGTTCTGCTATTCGTTTATCAAAGTTTCTACCAATTTGACCGATGTAAGTTTTTGGGCAGTCGCCACATATGAAGTTTGTACACACCACTATTTAAGTGTTTTTTATTTTTGCTCTTGTTATTTTTAATATATTTGCCTAGGTTGTTATTTGTTCGGAAAGCTGGTGTTATTCCTTTCTTTTATATGTGTTTGGCAATTTTTATTGTTATTTTGCCTGTATATGTAATCGAGCAGAAGGTACTGGGTTTTTTCTCTGGTGGTGGAAATACTAATTTCAGGGCTTTCTTGTTTAGTTTTTGATTTAACATTTTATTAACTGTTTGTTCATTGTATCCGTTGTTTACTACTATTTGCCTAATTATATTTAATTCTGTCTCAAAGTTGTATTTTGACATCGAAATTTCTGTTAATCTATGTAAAATACTATGATATGCTGCCAGTTTATGTTGTGTTGGATGGGATAATGAATTGTGTATAGTCGTGTCAGTATGGGTAGGTTTGAGAAATATGGAGAAGTCATGTTTGCTTTTTAATCTGATAATTTTCAAATATAAAAAATTTATAGATTGATTTTGTTCTGTTTCTATTGTAAATTCAATATGACTGTGACGTGAATTAATATACGATAAAAATTTGTCGAGTTGCCTGTTAGTTCCTGTAGAACATACTAGTACGTCGTCTACGTATCTCCACCAATATAAAAACTGTTTAAATACGGAATGTGTTTTGAAATCTTTGTCTCTAGACAGTTTTTATATTGGTGGAGATACGTAGACGACGTACTAGTATGTTTCACAGGAACTAACAGGCAACTCGACCAATTTTTATCGTAACGAATACAATGAACAAACAATTAATAAAATGTTTAATCAAAAACTACAAAACAAAGCCCTGAAATTAGTATTTCCACCACCAGAGAAAAAACCCAGTACCTTCTGTTCGATTACATATACAGGCAAAATTACAACAAAAATAGCCAAATAAATAAAAAAGAAAGGAATAACACCAGCTTTCCGAACAAATAACAACCTAGGCAAATATATCAAAAACAGCAAGAGCCAAAATAAAAAACACTTACACAGTGGTGTGTACAAACTTAAATGTGGCGACTGCCCAAAAACTTACATCGGTCAAACTGGTAGAAACTTTAACAAACGAATAGCAGAACATTACAAAGAAAACTTACAAAAAAATTACAAAATTATTTAATGAGTCGAACAGTGACATGAGTGATACTGATTGCCTTACATAAAGCTTACATAAAGCTGTGTACTGGGTGTGAAGAAAAAGATAATGACTTTATTTGTGACCTTTATAAATAAACTTGGTTTGAAACTTTGAAATTTTACATCTGTCACAGTGGCCACCTCATGGCCAGTTTGCCCCACCCCGCACGTCAAAGTGGCAATTTGGTATTGTTAGGGTAAAAAATATGTATGTAAAAAGTTTACCGAAATAAAGTGAAAATTAAAATTGCCTATGTAGCTAAGTATATAGGATATTGTATGTTAATATATAGTGTATTTCGTATTTATTTTCTTTAAGATAAAAAAAATATTCCTTAGCATGACCTTTTTCCCACCCTTCCCCAAATTTTTGTCGTTTTGATTTTAAATCTTTTTCAAGTTTTAGATGTTCACAAAAATCAGTTTATAAGAAAAAAACTGATTGTTATAAAAAATTATTTAAGGTTCTATGGTCCTATACCATCGTATCCCACTCTAGCATTTATATCTCCTAAAGGAAATATGAATTCAATTTTAGAGTTATGTTTCAATTTAGTTTTATGAAAAAAGTTACTCTTTACAATTATATAAGTTATACATAAATTGTTTCAGTCAATATGCGATTTGTCGAAAAATATGAATTGTATGTGAGAGCTTCAATATTGAAAGGTCACATTTTTTATGACTAATAAAACTTATTATTTGATAATTATATGTTAGGTTTTAGAACATGC